TTTGGGAGAAAGTAATACTTAAGTTACTAAACAAGCAGTGAGCTGTATGCTAAATGCGCTGATACAAAATAATATTTTCTAGCAGTAGCTGGAAAAGCAATCATTTGCGGATTTTTTTTACTGGTAAGTCCTGCATAATATAAAATAAAGAGAGAGCAAATAAAAGGATTTTTTCTCCAAAACCAGAGTAACTTGTTAGAGTATACTTCTTAGAGGGCAATGGATTCTAGCATCAATTACTTGTGTTAATAATTAAAAGAATTTAAGATGGCTAATATTTAACATAGGTTTTTCTGGCTAACTGTGTGGGTATTCAAAGTATATAGAATGAAAATACATATGCCCAGGTATATGAGAGCTAACTTTATACTGAGTAGTTTTCAAATATAAAACACAATGGTTATCAAACGATACATTTTCGCTAATTTCTCACTATATCACAAGGTTTCATAATGAAAAGCAAGTAAGAGAAAAAAGCACAAAATATGAGAATGAGTCAGAATCTGATTCGTGCTGGCAAATATCTAGAGTGTTATAACTGATTTTAGTAACTCTCCCAAGTAGCCCAATAAACTGGCACAGGAACTGAGAAATGTAATTCCAGCTCATTGCATTATGGCCATGTGATAACACTGCTGAGCTGTGCAAAAGGCTTGGTAAGCACTATGGATGCAATGCACACCCATACAAAAAGAAATCTTTGGTACAGATGATGTTTTACAAAGGTGACTGAATTTAATTAAATATCTCTGCATCTGAGTAGGAGGCAACAGGCGCAATCTTTCTCCCAGAGAGCTCCAGGATGCTGAATAATGCTGATGGGATGCACGGATGCTGAGAACATGACAGATTTTTACATTCTTTTTATGGAACATGATGGGTAACCTCGTCAGTCATTTTATTTTGTATTATCTTAACTCAGTGGGTTAATTTATTCTGCGACACCTGTTGGCACTGAAAAATACACTGTGGTTGCCTGAGTTGGGTGGTAGGAGTAAGGCTGATTAACATTTAGATAGAATTATCTGAGCAGTTAAATGGATATGCCAAATAGATGGCTGCACCAGTGAAACTGGTCCTGCCCTGTGGACCAAAAAGGCAAAGGATCACCTGATGAAGGCGATGAAAGAGTCAGCCGGGGAGCTTCAGGGCCAGGCTGAAACTAGAAATAAAGGGAAGGAAACATGTCCAATGAAGAGAGATGAGACAGTTATTCCAGTGGATATGGAAAACTGCCAAGCTCTGTTCTGCCACAACAGACACTGGAAGTCTGCAAGTGAAAAGGCCTGGGAAGCAGTGCAATTACTACGCCTTGGTTCATCTCACATGCTGCACTTTTTAGAAAGCTAAATGCCCATCACATGTTTCTTGAACAGCATCCCTGGCCAGATTGTCAGAACGGTTTCTAACAAGGAAGCTCAGAAATACTTACAGGCTCAGATGGTTAGTAAATCATCAGTTCTGTATGATTAACCCCCTCCCCCCATTAACCCCTCTCTGATATTCATAATATCAGAGGCATTTATTTTTAATTCATGAAAGATACTGCATAAGCTCTTCATAATCTGCAAATAAAAACCCTGGAAGTAAGCCTAATTTCAGTTTTCTAAAGATCAATATTTTAACACTCATGTTTTCGAGTATCCTTGGGCAGCTTAATACTATCAATGTTTTCCCCTAGTCATTTTTAGATTTATTTTTAAATCATGCTATAGGTACAGTATTTAAAAATTTAATGCTTGAAGATTCAGCCATTGATGTTAGTAGTGTAAGGGTACTTAGCAAAAAATAACTCTACAAATTATGATTTATAAGGTAGAATCTAACAGTCTGCTGGAACATCCTATCTGGAGAGCTTCCTAAGAACTCTTTTCTTATTAACAGTTGCCCAGAAAATTGCTCAGAAAATAGAATAGCAATTTTATTTTCCTTTTTGACTTCTCAGCACACAAAAGTTGATTATAATTTATGTTTAGACACTGAGACTAGGAAAGCTACTAGTCTTCCAAAATAGTCTTTATCCTTTGGAAGACTTGTTTTGTCAACAGAAGACTATCTGAATGCTTCTGTAAGAAATGAGAAGGATTGACATAGTTTCATAGTTTGTAATGTGCAAAATTCTGATATCACAATTTAAATGTTTGCCTTCTTGAACAGTGAATATATTAAGCTATTATCTAATCTAGTGATGAATAACAGAAGACTACACATATATTTCTCCCCAAGCAGTCAGCAAGATGAAACGGTTTAAGAGGAGAGTGTGATAAGGTCGCTGGACTGTCATATGAGATCTATTTTTTTCCTAGAAATCACATCCAAAGGGAGGGCTAGCTGTGAGTACGTTTTCACAACAGGTCATAATCATTCTGCAGATGGCCAGTATTCCAGACAATCACTTGCTAAATAAGCAACCCAGTCTCAGAATGGAATTACTTGTGTATATATAAACATCTTATTGTGCTGTATCATATGCTCACTGACACTTAGGGGATGTTTTCCCCTTGACTTCACTGGCTGTGAGATTTTGCCCACAAAACTGGTGCTCAACTTCTTGTTTTATTGCACCTCTGCATATTGTAGAGGAAAAAGCTACATTGCTTTAAGCAGTGACATTGTTAAGTTTGCTATTTCCCCTGAAGATTTTTAAGGAAAAAAAAAAAGATAGAGCTAGTTTCAAGATGTTGCTGACCATCTGTGCCATTGGAGTGACTGTGTTAAATCCTGGTAGGTGATGCCATGGCATTTAGAAGTACAGTAGTGGCTGTTTCTATAATCATAGTTCACACTTCTTTTCGCGTGCCTGCTGCTCTGACTGTCCCATGTAAAAAGAATTACACAAGCTTAGAAGTGGCTCAAAGGTCCTGCTAAACCGTTTAAATCCATTTTGCTACCTTTTATACATGTTCCTAAGACTACCAGTATTTTCACAGAGGATCTGTGAATCTGATCTGTTTAGTACAGCATTCTATATTCAACAGTGAATAGCATCAGATATTTCAGAGAAAGGAGAAAATAAGTCCCTAAGTAAATAGATGTATAGTAATCTGCTCCCCTCTACAAAATTTTGTCCTGTGCCCTAGAGAGTACCATAACCACTGACCTATATAATCCAGAATCTTAAGTACCAGTCACCTACCAGGAATAAATCTTTCTGATACTCTTCATTGTGTTCCTGGATTTGGCTATCCTAAATAATGGTGATTTTCTTCATATTTCTCTTTTCTGGATCATAAATAAATGAAAAAATATCGGTCTTGTCACATATAGTAATCTGGAGCATCAACATATATTTGCTCAGCTTATTATATCATTAAACCATTTAGAATTCTTATATAATCACCGATGAGCTGATGTCTAGATAACCTTTACTTTTATAGGCAGATGGGAAAAAAGAATAACGGACTGGATTTTTGGTAGGACGAAAGCTAACTAGTCATTCATTTTGTTACAGTTAAAGATGTCAGACACTGTGGTTCTTCTAGGTTATTTTCAGCTTGAAGGCTGTAGTGATTGATTTGAAGTACTGCTATACTTATAACTAGAAGCTATCTGACTGTCATCTGCCTCAAAGAAAAATGCCATTCCTCAGCTTTCCATTTAGAGAAAGAGCTAATCATACTTGTCAGGTTCAATTTTTTTTTTTTTTAAGCACAGAATATTTCCAGCTTTGTTTCTAGATTCTTGGCGATGTTGCAACTGTTGACAGTTCCACTGTTGTGTACCCGTAAGCCAATATCTGGCTATGGAAAAACTATTTGTTTGACTAGAATTTGGTACTGGTGGAGGGCTGACCTTCTAACTGCCTTGGCCTTGCTTTTACTCCACAGCTCTCCAGTGGTTCTGAGATATGGAGATATAGCTATCCTGCTCACTACAGGATCCCATACCATCTTGCATAGCTGCATATGAGAAGGCTTTATGGAAACTGCTAAGAAACCTCCCAGGATCCCTTCTGGATCAGCACTGTCATCCAGGAGCGTAGCTGGGCGTAGGCACCAAATTTGAGATCCCTCAAGTGCTTGGCTGAAATATTGTCTGCTGATCTCAGCGCCCTTCCAAAACAGTGGGAAAGATACACTTTGGCTGTATCTGCTGCATACAGCTACCTCTTTGAAAGAAGCATAGGCATGCTGTTTTAAACAAAGAAAACAACATTGCCCTGGGATCAGTAGTCCTCAGGTCCAGCTATCACCTAGGAATCACCTAGGAAATCACAAGAACAGCCAACAGTTTTTTCCCCTCTTTGTATTACTCATTGTTTACTTTGTGACACAGCTGACGCATGGAAATAAAACCTGATTATTTAAACTCACTGATAACCTTCTTTCCCCCTTGTAGCATGACATAAAATATAGGTGGATGTGTTGAGCTGCCTGCAGGAATCAGAAGAAATTTTACTGCATCTGGAAGAAGTGGAAAATAGTCCTAACTGTTATTTACAATTCATGAAGCATACACGGCACCAGTGCTTGTATGGCTTGCTTCATGACCTATCCAAGCATTGTATTATGAAATGCTGGTTTTAAAGGTCAGTAAGATTCTGAAAGCAACCTAGGTTAATCCCCGAGAATAAGCTAAACTTTCTTCATTTTTGTGGTTTGCAGTTCTAGAAACTAAACCAGAAATGCTTTCTGTTCTAACTGGTTGAGCAGACTAAGGATTGATGTGGTTTTGTGGTTTCCTTAGTTGCAGCAGGAACTAACCAAAATACCCGCTGGTCTTCTTGCTGTGTCATTCTCTTCAGTATTTTTCTTTAGAGTCACTACTGCACATTACAATATGAAAGAGGAATCTCTTAGACTCCAAATTTTCATTTTTAACTTCATTATATTTAACTTCTCTTCTACAGTGGACTTCAAGCTTCCACTCTATGGGTAGTTCCAATGTCATCAATGAGTCATAATCCAACATGCATCATAGAATTATAAGATGTTAAAGATTAATCTGAGTGCAGAGTTTGACAAGATAAAAGTATTATTTCTTAAACTTTCATCTCTTACCTTTATGTTATCTTGATTTGTGTTTAATGGTGTTTGTGTCTCCTTATGGCATCCACCCCATGCCAGTAGAATACCTGAAACAGAAGAAAGGGAACTATACTGAGTTTTGCCACCAAAACTCATATTAGTAGAACATGTATTTCCAGTAGCATGAATCAAAATTAACCAGTGAATTATAAGTAAACTGGAAATTATTGAAGATTCAAAATAAGGCTGGTTGATAGGAGAGTAGTCCGGGAAAGCAACACTAAACTCTTGCCCTGTTTTATTCTTCCCCAGGCTTTTGCTGCTAGCCACAGTCAGAGACAGGCTAACACAGACTTTTGAGCTGAACTAATATGGATTCTAAAGAGCAAAAGAAAACTTTAACGCTAAGCTGAAAGAAACAAAAGACTTGTGAAAGGGAATCTAAATAAACGCAACTCAAACACAACTCCTTACTTTCATAACAAACACTCAGATGCTCCAGGAATAAATAAAAATCCACAAACCAATTCAATACCAAAAGAACTTGAGAAAGAGATTGTAAAGATCATATCTACGATGAGCTCACAGCTACACACAAACACCACGCGGATAACATTTACGGCTAGAAAGGTTCTGTAGAAGGGACCTCCTCCTTAATAACTACGAGCATGAGTTAGCCCTGTATACGTCCAGTTAGAAATGTTAAATATATTATGCAAAACCTAAGATGTCCTGCTCTTGTAATATATATAGCACTACCATGGCAGATTACGTTTTCAAAAGTAAACTTGTCAATAAATGCAGGAAGAAGAACACAAAGGAACCAGTGAAACTTTACAAGATTCCTAATTGCTCTCGATTAAAGGCTGATACAGCTGGTTTAAATTAGACAGAAAACCCCGTGATACTCTGTTTCACCAGCGTACAACTTACATATATGAGTAGCTGCACTACCTGCTGAGCATTAATAGTACATTGGAAATCAATATATTGTTACTATAGGGTTAACACGATTTAGCATGTACTGACAATTCACAAGTGGATCATTCTTGCACTTTGATATTAGTTCAAGCCCGCCATTTCAGTGTCAATTATGAGCAGTTAATGGAAGAATGAGTACCAATGGCAAATAATTCATCTGGGCTCTGAGATTAAATGAAATAATTTGCATGTAATATTGAATAGAACAGTGAAATACACACCATAAACCTTTATTAGTATCACCTATTCAGAAGTTTTGTGGGATGAAAGACAAAAACCTTAATGGAAAAATTTAAAAAGCTCTCTGAAGAAAAGAAAATTATCTCTGACTTAGTTTTTGGTAAAGCAACTAAAGAAATGCTACAAGAACAAATCTGCTTATTTGCAGGTGCTCAGTTGCAGGTTGGCAGTGAAGCTGTCTGAAGATGCCCCTATCTTTGAGCAAGGGCCCAGGGCTGCTACAGTGTTGGGCTGGAGGCTGTACTTACTATTGTCCAACTTAAGTGCCTGGGCTGCCTAAATGAGAAGGGGAAGGCAGCCTGACCTGCGCACAAGGGTCGTCTTTAGGGATGGAACGGGAATAGAAACCAGAGCAGGGTCAGAGCAGAGGGAGCAGGAGGGGCTAAAGGGGGCAGGCTGTGGGCAGGAGACACCTTACAGGATGCCAGCAAAGCAACAGTAAGGCAAGAAACGCAACCACGAGAGAAACCCCACTTCCCAAACTCTGCAATAGCACCCAGCAGATCAGTGCTGGGGTTTACAGACAAATAGAGCAAATAGCTATGAAATCCACTGGCAAAGTAGGTAGTCCAAACCTGAAAAAAAAACTTTCTGGCTTTCTGTTGCTCTGTGAACTTGACAAGCAAAGCTTTTAAAAAGTAGATCTAAGGGTCTGGTATTATTGATGACCTTGCAAGCACGTAAATCATAACCATACTTCCATATGGTCAATATCTATTTTTATTCAGCAGATTTTATTTTTGTAAATGCAGGAAGTGTCACGTAAATACTATGCTTCATATAAATGTTATATTTAAATAAAATTGACTGTAAAGTCAAGCATTTAAAAGTTAGAAATAGTCAGAATTAGAGTTGTCTACGCAGCATAACTGTGTTCCCTTTTAATATTACCGTGATCATCATTTAATTTATAATTGCAGGATCATGTATTTTTCCCCTTAATTTAATTTACTCAGGATGGATCAAGGCATGAATAAAGGTTGTTTGTGAACCCTACCATCAACCACATATGTTCTGAAACCATGAGTCAGCTGTCTTTTAAAAAGAGCCTGGATTGGACATAATAAACACTTCCAAGGATATGAATTTAGCTTAGGGGGAGATTGCCTGTTTCCCTATTGTACACAAAAGTTTAAGGGTCAGAATCTAGTCTTAAAGATATGTACAAAATTTCTTGTTATGACTAGTTACTGTAGGGTAAGGAGCTACCAGTCAAACCCCTTGCTATGCCCTCCACATGGATTTGTTAGGGCTCAAATAGCATCTCCTGCTAGTATGAAAGATTTTGTTTTTAAAGTCCTTGTTTTGCTCCTTCCACTTTCTAATGTTATTGCTACAGGTCTTCCTTTCCAGGTATGATACAATTTTGGTTCAATTTTGATTTTATAAAAGAAATAGTACCCTTCTACTCCTAATACTATCTCCTAAACCATCATCTACTCCATTAGTTCTAGATCTTTCTCCTTGTCCTTGCCTACCTGCAAAGTGATTTGACTGTATTACATTCTGAGCAAGCAGTATGTCCCTCAGTCTTCCCTACCACCAAGAGAAATAGTTTTGTTCTTGAACAAGGGCTGTCACCAGACACACGCCTGGACAGCCAGTGCATGGCTGGGAGAAGCAAGGTGGCCACAGCCCGTCGGCACTGCTGCCACCACAGAGGAGCAGCTGCAGGCTCTGGAGAGGCCTCTGCACATAGCTGCAACCCACTGTGGCCTCGCTAAGGCAGAAATCTCTTTGAAGGATGAGACTTTGGTGAGCTGGAAATTACACACCATTTTCAGGAAAACAATTAACGGCTCCTCCCCACCCCCCAGTCTTCTAGTTGGTGAGTAATAGCTTGGGCACAGCACTAGGGGAATGCTGCTGCCCACTTCCCAAGAGCATTTGCACCTTGCTAGGCCAGACCCAAGGCTGAACAAAATGGGTCTGTCTGCACCTACTGCTCCACACAGACCTCCCGGGGCTTTCACCAGCAATGCTGAACACTGCCTTTTTCTGTACATGTGCCTGTCACCAGCCATGGTGAGCTCTCCTGGCTTTCTCGAGACTATACAACGCAAACTATGGTTTGAAGTTTTGCTTGAGAAGAGGATTCTTGTCTCTCTTTTTCTCTTGAACTTTACTGGACTCACCCACAGAAGGAAACAACCACTACCTTTTCTGCAGCTCTAATTTTCTTCCAGCAGAGTATGGAAAGTATTTTTCTTCCTTATGCTGAATACCTGGTATTGAAACATCAACTCCCTCTAACCTGAGTTAATTTGTATTTAAAGTTTTTGTTTTGCCTTTCAGCCCTTTAAAACTATCATTAAAAGGTTTTTCTAGTTCTCCTAATTATGTTAGTAAAACAAGATAGTTTATTTGTATTTGTTTGCATAAGAATTTGATGTAGCTTTAGTAAATGAAAAACAAAACAGATTTGCTTCATAAATTAAAAACCTCTCTCATGAAGTTAGTATGAGTTCTTACCCTCTCTCTGTCCAATAGCAACATTTGACTCAAATGGTATACATTCTCCACTTGCCATTTTTACACATATGTACCCTTTTCTTATTATTCAGAACCAGCTCCTTCACAACTTAATCAGGTTAATAAACTTTTATTTCTAAAATTAAGTGACTACAATATCAATTTTTAACCCTTTAGGGTGGCTTTCTCCACCCTAAAAATCTACAGAACTTTGCTTTTCTCATATGTTTGCTCTTTCATCCACTTAAACAATTTTTTAGGTGGAAAGTTGGGTTTTTTTTTCCAAAGTTGTTTCAGCTCCACCTCTGCTTTCACCTCCTTTCACTACTGCCTTTGGTTCTTACAATCGCCTGCTTCCATTGCAGGTGCACCTCCATGTGCTGAGCCTGGCTCAAGCATGTGCAGGTAACTGGCCATGCAGGTGTACTCACGGGGAGCTATTGTTCCTAGTCAGCAATCCTCGTGTAAAGGTCAAAAAATCAGTTAAAAGGGAAAATACATTTTAGAGGCATCCATTATTGAAATGCATTTGGATTGTAAAACTGAATATTCAAGTAGTACAAAATGGTAAACTTAAAGCTGTTCAGCACTTTATGTTTAAGGATTATGATGTTATCTTTAGGTTACACGATCATATGTTATAATTTCCACTATATCCCTAACTCAGTTAGGGCTTACGATAGATAAGGGGAGCAATCTGATTTATTTTTGTCCTTCATATTTTATAATCATTTAACGTGTGCCAGTTAAGTTTTCCAGCAAATACCAAGAGATCCATTTCTTATGAGTTTGTATGGAACTGTTGTCCCTGGGTGTCTCAAAAATGGGAATTCATTTACTCTGCAACGCTCGTGTGAAGTTGGGTGGGTTCTACTCTAACTCCACCTTACAGAGGTGGAATGGAGTCATGGAGAAATTCATGCTACTGTTTTCCAAACCGCCCCAACTTTTGAGTGACCAGTTGAAGACTCTGTGATCTGACCTTTCTTCTTTCAAGTAATTAAACATTCTATTGCACTATGAACAAACTTGAACAAATTTAATTTTATTCCAGTTGTGAATGTTTCTGTCAGTTGGGTTGCAGATGTTTCAGATTGGTCAGCCTGAAATACAATAAACTAACTAAAATTTAGTAACTAAAATTTTCACATCAATATGACCAGAAACGTGCAAAAGAAAGCTACTGTCTGCTCTGGATGATTAGGCCATGTGAGAACTGGGTACTGTTCTTTCAATCTTATTTGCCCAGTCCTTTGCTCTATACTTCATAACTTAATTCTTAAAGATAAAAGAATTCTTTTGTTTCAAGCTAAACAAAACTGGGAAGTTATATACATACAGATCCAGTTCCCTGTTGTTTTCTGTGGTCACGTTTTGTCCATCGTGAAACAAATAGAAAAGGAGCAGAAGCACT